CGGGTTGTAACGATATGGTAGTCGTCGTGTTGCGGCAAAGGTAGAAAGCGACACATGCCTACATCGTAGATATTCAAACATCCATGCTGTTATCTCGGCGACTTATCACTACGATTGTAAGTTCGTTTAGCCCGTGACGTCAAGTCAAGTTACAAGAGGCACAAGTACAACGGTTGATTTATCTGGCTCATTCCTTTCCACCTTGGTAGAAAAATCGCGAGTCTCCTGTTTTATGTATAACGCGCACAATATTTCCCATTGTACATATAATTCACAAATTTTATATATATATATACAGGGTTTCGTAACTTGTGAGACCGAATTCCAGAGCTGATTGTACGTCTAAAAATAATAAAAAAAAGTCATATAAATATATGTCCTATCTGTCTCCGTTTATGAGATATAATGAATTTTATAAACAGAGAAAACTCTAGTAAGCTAGTTTTACCAGGGATGGTATATTCAATTTTCATAATAATCATAATTGGGATGAAGAAAATCCACATGTTATTGTGCATTCAAGACATCAACACCAGTTTAGTTTGAACGTATGGGCAGGAACAATTGATAAATTTTTAATTGGACCTTTTTCTCTTGATAGGAAACTAACAGGAACAAAATACGTTGATTTTTTGAGCACGCGTTTACACGAAATATTAGAGGAAATTCCAGTCGATATTAGATTATTCGTATGCGGTTTATGCATGATGGAACTCCGCCGCGTTTTAGCCGAGTGGCTAGGCAATTTTTAAATCAACACTTTGCAAATAAATGGATTGGTCCTGTTGCATGGCCTGCTCGGTCTCCGGATTTGAATCCATTAGATTTTCATTTGTGAGGACATTTAAAATCTATTGTATACGCAACATCGATTGAACATGCTGAAATACTACGAAATAGAATAGAGCAAGGCTTCCGACAAATTCGAGAAACACCAGGAATGATAAAGAGAGTAACCANATAGGACATATATTTATATGACTTTTTTTTCATTATTTTTAGGCGTACAATCAGCTCCCGAAGTGAGTCCCACAAGTTACGAAACACCCTGTATATATAAAACGCACACAACATATTCATAAAAAATGTCACTTTCGTGAGTTACATTACATCTCACCTCAGCTTGGTCATTGAATTAAAACGAGGCCCTCCGTTACTATTAATACAATACTATTAATATTAATAAAAAACTTAGCTTAAAACACACAATTCCTTTTCTATTTAAAATTATCCAGGATAATTTGAAATTCACTTTGAAAAGCAGTAAATTAATCTCGACACTTTCGACAATTATTATTCATTCAGTTTCAATATTAATATAATTAAATAAAAATTAAGCGAGACCCATCTGCATTATCATTAAACATTAATAAAACGATTCTTGATTAATTAAATAACCGAGTAAAAAATATGAAAAGTATTCTTAATTAATAATTCCCAAGCACCTGTAAGAAAATCTACTACAGTTTGCCCCATCGATCGAGGAACACAATTTCACGCGAAAGAAACGTCCAGCAATTCCCTCGGTGTGGATGGTTTCGCGCTCGAGCGTTAATTTCCGTTTCAATTAAGCCTGAGATACCGATCTCAGCATAAAAAGTTACGATTCCTCTTATCTTGTTTCGCGATCGAAATAGTCAGCGAACGCGACATTTTCTACCGAGAAGAGAATTTCTCTCCGAAGAACGAACGCGGAGGAAGAGAAAAAAAAAAAAAAAAAAAGAAAAAAGAAGAAGAAAAGTACACGAGTCAAGTCGAGGGACAGAGACAAATCGACAAAGGGAGAAGCCGGAGAGGATCGCGAAATAATCCACGGATCGGCGCAATTAGCGCTCGTTAATGATCGGCACGAGAGATCGGAGATTGGATCGAGGCTGGCGAGGAGATCGCGGCGAGATAACGGACTTCAGAGAAACTAATAAACTGCGCGAAATTAGTGCTACGCGCGTGGAACTGGTGGTACGATCCGGGAATGAAGGTGTAGGCGAACGTTATGGCGCTGACCGGTATCTCGCGAACCCGCGGGAATAATTATGCGTCTGCAGAGAGCGGGATAGAGTCGTCGTGTACATTCATTACGCTCGAGAGATCTTACATTCGTTTATTTCTTGGAAAATATGGCTATATACGTGCAATGTGTGTGTGTGTGTGTGTGTGCGTGTGAGCTTTGACTATATTGATTGTTCCTCGAGTGGAGAATTTTTTAAACGACATGGTTAACTGTAGTGGAAAGAGGAATACGCAGTTGTACAGTGTAGCAACTAAAACTACGTTTGTGCTTCGTACTTTGTTTGATATTTTGTTGTTATGTTAATTCGTGCATGGCTTTGGCTATATTATAGAATAACAGACACGTTCATTTAACGCATGGACTGGCAAGGGAATTTCTAGATATTCAAAGATCTATGTAATTTCACACAGACAGATGTGGTGAAACTTTTGGTTTGACAGGTAAATGTAAAAATTAAGTGATAGTAAATCTAAGCCATTGACACGGTCAAATAGTAAATCTAAGCATTAACACGGTTAAAATGACCAATCTGTAATTTTTATTGGATATTCTACAGACGTAAAACAGAGTATTTTTAAAGATTTAAATGATTTAATTTTTGCAAAATATATAAATAAAAACTTGTACTTTATTGCATTGTAAATTTTTCTTTTTTTTTACTATACATCCCTGATGGAAATTTTACGTCTCAATCGCCGATAATTCCCGTGTTAAGATACCTCTGCGCGATCAGTGTCTAAAAGAATATCCTCGAAATACTAAGAACTATCCCTAATCAATCTTCCTCAACACTTCCGCCATAACTTCCAATTAATTCCACATTTATCATCAGCAGAAAATTCCAACGCGAAATCCTTCTCTACAAATCTCACAATTCCTCGAATCCCGTCCGGTAAAATGAAAAAAAAGGAAAGAGAGGTCCAAGAGAGGATCTTAAAAAATCACCTTCGTCGCAAACCGAAGATTAACTCCCGACATAGAAAAATCCTCTCTCGTAATTCCTCGAAACTGCGGATAGAACTCACGCGAGACCAAAAAGAAGAAAACAGAAAAAAAAAGAAAGAGAGAGAGAACGAAGAAAGAATCTCGAAAATCGACTCCGAGGGATCCCGATTTCCTCGGTTCGATTTTTCAACGAATCTCCGGGGAATGCTGAACACGATTCGCCGAAGTATCATCAGGTGCACGAAACGAGCGAAGTGACTCGAGCCAGACGACTCGGTAAAAGTACTTAGGATGTAGGTGCAGGCTAGGTAGGAATATGAGTACATATACGTGAATAAAGATTCGTGCTCGGGGCACCAGAAGATACGAGGATATACGTATATGTGTGTGTGTGGGTGTTGGTGTAGGTGTGGGTGCTTTGGAGCAGCGGCCTTACAAGGACGTCTGGACGTTCTAGCGTTCCCTGAGAGCCTCTGTTGCACACCTTGACTGAGACTAAACGCGTTAACGGATCTTTCACAACTCTGTCGTTTTCTGCGTGACGATCGATACCGAATCGCGAGATCCACACCCGTTTATCAGATAATTCGCGTCGATCCCCTCGCTCGAGCGTGCACGAAGCCGCGTTCGACTTTGTCATCGACAGCTACGCGGAGATCTTGCTGCTGTCTTCATTTCTCGACGAAGCGTATTTATCGAAATTAGCTTTGCGTTTATCACAATTTCTTATTGCCGATTAAATCTTTCACTAATTTTTGATTTTCTAAGCCAAGGAGAATGCAACTTTGGATGAAACTTTGCTTGCTCTCTGACCTTTCATTGCTGATTTTCAAATTTAAAGGTAACAACCTGTTACCTCAGTATATGCTACTCAGTAAATCAAATGGAGTTGTATACCGTTATTATATTTTACAAATAGAAAGCCCGAAAGCAGGCTCGAAGATGATAAATTATAGTAAGGCAAAACTTCTAATGTACAGTAGAAATTTGTATATTTAAATTTATTCTTGTAAGATGAAAAAAATTTTCGAAAAAATTCCTATCTTGCAAACAGAGTATAGTGAAAATGTAATTGAGGTAAAATTTAATGCAACATAATTCAAATTAATTTTAAACCGTACATTTAACAGAACAGTCGTATCATTTCCATAAACAAGATACTACTTTTATCATAAAGAAACTACCTCTTCACAAAGAGTTCCAAGAACAGATTAATTGTTGCATGTCATAATCGACGTACTCTTCATCGATCACGCCGCTGCTAAACGACTGACTTTTAGAAGATCGATCGCGTCCAATCATCGTAATAAAAATTAGAAATGACTTACGTTTAAAATGTAAGCGTTTTGGTAGTACGTTGCCTCTTTACGATACGATTCGTTCATTTATTTCTGGATTTGAAATGAAAGTAGAAGTCAATTATAAAATTCTATTCTCACTATAGACGGAGGACAACAATTAAAATATTTAACTCTTTTAGAGCGTGAGATTTTACATTTCCAACTTCAGCGTTTTTTCTAATCAATAAATATGAATTTATTCTACATATTATTTTATTCTATACCATTCATTCTAATTCTATAATAAATCTCTATTGATATTTAAATTTCTGCGATAAATAATATCTAATATAAACCGCATTACTCTGATTAAATTATTTTCCAATGAAAACGTTTTGGGGGAAGAAAGAAACGCAGAATTCGTATAATCTTGCAAGAATAGAAAAACTCTGTGTTCCTTTCAAACATAATAACCCGAAATCCCAGCGAATTAACTTGTAATAAACCTCGCGAACGTAAAAAAAAGAAGACCAGGTTCTTCCGAACTCTTCAATTGTCAAACATAAATTCACAACAAGCTTCGACTCATTAATTCACCGATTTGTATTCTAGTTCACGAATTCGCAACGAATCCCAACACAAAACCCCAGAGGTCCCTACAAATTAATTCGCAGCAAGGGGCATAAAAACTGAAAGGTCCCTCCACGAACAAATTCCCTTTCCGCCCGACACATCAATAACTCTGAACAACAAAAAACTCCTACCTTCGTTATTGAAGCTCTCGTCGTCGAACAGAATCTTGACAGTGGTCGACGACGACGACGAAGAAGAAGAAGAAGAAAAAGAAGAAGACGAAGACTCGTTGGACCGTTCCCTCAAGAAGCTGCCCAGAGTCTTCTCCGCAGCGTCGCGACTTCCATCGACGTTCCCCTCGATCGTCTCTTGCTTCGTTATGCGTACACCAGTCCATAATATCACCAGGAATAGCACCAGCAGCGCGATGCTGATCAGCGCGACGACGGTCGAGGCGCGATTCGAGATTCGCGACATGTCTGCGACTCCTTTGCCAGCAAGACACATTTAACCCGACCTGTTTCTTTATTATTTGTTGTTCCTCGACTCGTTAGCCACCGGTTGAATCCCGAGTTCAAAAGAAAAGAACTACCCGGCGCGTCGTTTGTACGTTGCTTCTCGACTCGTTGAACATCGGAAGATCCGAGATCGGGAGATGAGAATTGCTCGGAGAGAATCGCTCTCTTCTCGACTCGTTGATCACCGGTAGATCACCGAGTCAGAGGCGAATTACTCGCTTCGGGTATCATTCATTCGCTGTTCGGGCATCGATTCAAAATTCACCAGTGGTTTGCCGTTAGCCACCGAGAGAGGTTCGAGCGAAGAGGAGAGGCAAGAGGAAGGATGCTGCTGGCCAGATCCGTCCGATTACACGCCAGCCAGTCGAGCAGTCAGTCGATCATTTTCGTGGCTTCGAGCTACGAAGTCCAACTAAGAGGAGAGAGGAGGGATTATCGCGGCGGCACCAGGTCATTCGCCACTCTGCGCCACCCTCGAGCGCCACCATAGAGTCCTTCCTCGCAGCCGGTGATCTCAAGGCTTCCACGTTTTGTTCCTTCGGTCTTGTTTTCACCACGGTGGAGAGAACCAGCCACGGCTAAATCCAACCGGGATCTAACCGCGGAATGTCCATTAAGGAGGGCTGGACCGTTCTTCGATTCGCCGTGCACCAGGTCAGCTATCTTGCCACGCTTTGTCGTTACGCTTTCTCTCGCTTAACCTCGCTGGTTAACACGACCGCGATCACCTTCTTGTCTTCGACATATGACCGAGCGAAGCGGATTCTGGATCGTTAAGGAAGCGAGGGCATAGCAGAGGCTTGAAGATGTGGTCGACGGTTGTTCGCGCTATGGTCAGTGAGGGTCCGCCGCCTGTTCCGGCTTCATTTCGAACTGGAAACAGAAAGAATTGTTGATGTTAGAGTTTGGCGGTGATGGAGAGTCGAATCTTAAGACTGCTGAAACATAAAATTTCCAACAGTGACGATTAAAAGTGAAAAACATAAAACACAAACTTTTTAGATTTATAGATTTTGATCAAATGAAAAATCATGTGGTTCTCTAAATATGTACTGTTTCGTATCTACAAAATTTCTAACAGAGATATAATAAATTGGTTCTTTTGACCATTTTGGTAGTTCTAATGTTGAGATGCAAATTACTTATTCTTAAACACGTAAAGTTTAAGAAAAGTATATATTTTTACATATTATGCACACTATTGAACTTTCCGCAAATACATAAAATTTATTCCGTAATCTAGTTATCAGTTTTTCGGTTTACGAAGTTCACCAATATGACTCCTCAACTATTGGTACATTGGTGAACACAGAAAAGTATAAGAAAATTATAGGAAATATAAATACGACATATAATTCATGAAATTTTATGAAAGAGAGTCTAAAATGAAATTTAAGTATATATATTATTTATATTAAAATTTATATTTACTATAAAATTCTGTGAAATAGAATTATTATATTTAATAGAAACAAAGATAATTGAGTTAGTATCTAGCATAAAGGTGATTAGCTCTCACGTAGATTGTATATATAAATAATTATAAATATTTATATAATATTAATATATAATTTATAATATAATAAATTATAAATAATTATATAATTATATAATACATAAATTATTCTTTACTATGATTAAATTGTATGTATAAATAATTACAAATATTTATATGATATTAATATAAATATTTATATAATATAATAAATTGTAAATAATTATATAATATATAAATTATTCTTTACTATGATTAGATTGTATATGTAAATAATTATAAATATTTATATTATTATATTAATATTATATAAGTATTTATATAATATGATAAATTATAAATAATTATATAATATATAAATTATTCTTTACTATGATAACAACAAACGTCGCGAAATTCAACAACCACGCACACAGCTCTCGTTCAATTGTATTCAGTTAAATTCCAAGAGAAATAGTCAACTAGAGGACAAAAGAACAAGCTGGAGAAGAAGCGAGAATGGTTTCCACCCGGCGCACCAAATGATTTCCCCATGTCGGGCAATTTAACCGTGCGAATCGCCGTGAAACCGATTCGTGTCGCGTTAAACATTTAAGACGCGGTGCGTCGTTTTCTTATCGCGCGACACGGAGACCACCGTTGCGAATAAATTTCCGATCGTATCGTCGGAAAGGGAAGAGAAGCGAGAGAAGGTATCAGCGATTAATTGACGCGTTGCTGATTGGATCGAGCAGCCGCGTTAATTCGGAAATAATTGACTCAAGGCACGCGCGAATCCAGCTGGAAATCGTCTATCTCAGGTTCTCTTCGAGAGTGATCGAACGCGAGGAGGAATGGTTTGAAGGCTGTTATTATTTGTAGTATATCTCTCTCGAGTTGCATGGAATTGTGTGGAATTGTAGAAAATAAATGGGAAGGAAAATGTTATGCTCTGTTGTTGGTTGAGATGTGAAATGAAACTAGGGAATATTTGCAGATTTATTGAAAAATTCGACGATTTGGAAGTTTGAGAGACTTTCAGATTTAGAAAATTCGAGGGCCAAGCGTTTCCGGAGGAAAATTAGGGAGCTGAAAAATTCGAGATTTTGACAGTCCAAAATTGAAGGCTTTACGGAAATTCAAGGATTTATAATTTTCTTTTTTTCGTAAGTCATGAGTTAGAAAATTCGAATATTCGTTAATCTAAAAAATGCAAATAAATTCGACACTTATGTAAAATTCTTTCGCCAATCAAATAAAATAAAATTCCTGAAACTCTTTCAAATTCTTTTCTAAAATAGTTCCTCGTCAATTACATAAAACGTTCATGATTCATTCTAAATAACCATTTTGGCCATTCTGACAACGTAGTCATTAGCATTAACACACAAACGAACGTTCATTCGACGCGTTGAAACGTACGACGAAAATCTAAAAGTCTAGACTAAAGAACCGCAAGGAACGTGTTCGATAAAAATAACACCGAAATTGTTTTTCATTTTTCTGTACAAACGCGATCCGTCTCATCGAATCGCGATCTACGGTGTGGTTCCAGACGTGGCAGCCCTTGAGCTCTAATTTACGACAACCAGCCACGAGAAAAAAAAAAAAAAAAAAAAAGAATCAAGCGACGAAGACTAAAGATCTTACGTTAGCAAATCGTTGATCATTGTAAAGACTTTTGGTTTCTCTTCGAAGGATTAAAGGCTCGAAGATTGAAAAACTCAAGATTTGAAAATTTGAGAAATTGAAAATTCAAGGGATAAAAAAATCTGAAGGTAAGGAAATTCGAAAGCTAGGAAATTTGAAGGTTGGAAATTCGAAAGTTGAAACATTCAAGGTTGAACATCTCGAAAGTTGAAAATCCCAAATTTCTTTTCTTTTAAAAAAAATATGAATTTTTCTTAACTTTCCTTTAAGTTGTTCGTTTAGCGTTTCAATTCCTCGAACAGGCTTTTCACTGGGTATCGGAAGCTAAGTTTTGGTTTGATCTCTCGACGACCAGAAGTGGGAATCGGTAATTAGACCAAGTCAGACGATGTATAAATAGCGCTCAACGATTTCTTTCATGCGTTTCATCGAACGGTTCTCCGAATCTTCCGACCAGTTCTCCTTAATTGCAAAACAGCCTGGGTTGTTTCATTTTTTTTATTTCTCGAAAATTTCTTCATCCATCGACGGATTTGCGAGATCGTCGCAATAAATTTTAAAGTGCGATAGATTAATAGTTCTTGTGGATGATGTATTACGTTACAAAACGTAGAAAAAAATCACACACACATACATCAAACAAATATTACATAAATTTCATCAACCAAATATAATAAATGTTTAAAAAAAACAATACCGAAAATTTTTAATGCAATTTCACACTGTTCACAAGCAGAACTAAAGAAAAATTGATCTATTTTGAATATTTTATACATCGTTCTATATTACAGACATTCTTTCGTGCATTTTTGTATTTCGACATTTCTTCCAAAAGCGTAAAAATCCACGATCGATAAATGCAACATCTGGAGAAACAAATAATCAGGGCCTCGAACTTTCAATAGAACTTAACTATCCAACGTGCGCACGGAGAATTAATAACCCTATGGCGGGTATCCATTAGCATTTATCGAACACCATCGATCAAGGATTCAAGAGCGGGATTTATTCAAAGAGCAACCGTAAGAATCACCGGCTCGGAGCCCCCAAGGATCTTTTTGTCGGGCCTCTAACCTCTAACACCAATTCTACACGATTCTAGCGAACATTCGCAAACCGACCGAGCATCACAGAGTTGCCTCTCGCGCGGTAGAAAATCAAAGAATCAAACAACCAACTGTATAAAAGCAACGAAACGCGTATATGTATTTCTGCGGTCTCCGCGTGCAACATAGTGACTACACCACCTTTCAAAAGTTTGCTCGCGTTTGCTGAGATTTACTTTAAACCGTGGAATTTTTAAAAGCCAGTAAACGTGTAGTAATAAAATTGTTATTCGTATCAAACCTCGTGGAAGTAGAATTTTTATCAATTCAGAAGTTCTTTCAACCTCGAGTTTCTTGAACTTTTTTGAATTTAATTTAATTTAATATGTTTGTAATTGAGCTGTTTCAATATTGTTACGCAATAAATATTTTACACGACAAAGAAATTAAATTTACTTTTAAATATTTAATTGAATATTTTAAATATTTTAAATATGATATGTAATATTTTAAATATGGTATATAATATTTTAAATATTATTACATATTATTAATATTATCGTGCGTTTTATTATATATAGTCAGGAAAATTTCGATGCTTGATGAATGAAATTTTTATCAATCGAATTCGCTCGTCCGAACTTCTATCATACGAATAAAAAAATCATCAGTTATATAAACCAATTATATAAACCACTTGTTTCCCGACGACGTCACATCGATAGATTAAAAAAAAAATTAGTTTTAAAAAATTGCAAATCTGCACCGCGTATCATAAATTTCACATCCATATAAAATCTACGAAATGTCACAAATTGCAAAGCCGTATTTTAAATCTATCGAATTTCTATATAGAGATTGAATTGCACATCGATCGTTTCGATGGCTTCTAACTTTTAATGCTGTTTCTAGAGATGGACCAAAGTGGTGATACATCGACAGAGTTGATTTATTTTTAATCTATTAATCTAAAATTTATTAAAAAATTGCAAATCTGCACCGCGTATCGTAAACTTCACATCCATATAAAATCTACGAAATGTCACAAATTGCAAAGCCGTATTTTAAATCTATCGAATTTCTATATAAAGATTAAATTGCACATCGATCGTTTCGATGGCTTCTAACTTTTAATGCTGTTTCTAGAGATGGACCAAAGTGGTGATACTTGTGAAAGGTAGTGTATAGCTATACCACAGTCTGGTATCACCGAGCAACATAAACGCCACGGTAATGAAAGCTCGAAAGAAGCATTACAGAGGCGGTGTGTGTCGAGTCTGCGGCTACGAGGAATGACGACGACGTCGCCGAGTGAAATATAAAAGCGGCGCTCGACGTCGGCTGCTGACCTCGCCAGTCACTTAAGGTCTGGGTCAAACTATTCTTGTCGCGTACCTTTCCTAGTCCGATCCATCGATCGATCAATCTTTGTCTGTGAATTTCTGTCTGCCGGCTAACGCGCCGACACATAAGTCAGCCTCTGCCGAACGTCTCGATTAGAATTGGACTCGCGAGATAATTTCAGCTAATTTCGTAGTTTCGTGAGGCTATTATCTTTTATTAAATTTTTACATTTTCGATATACTTGAAGAAAACACGCGTTTGATACATGTGTCTGATCAAGTTATTCGTTGATCTAAAAAGAAGAAAATTGTTTTCAAGTATGTTTGTGTAATGTGGATGAAGCAATGTGTGATGAAAGA